ATCATGGTGACGCCCTCTTCTTCCTCATTGGTTGATCGGCTTTCTTAGACTAACCGTAAACCGGTTTGAACTGACGATGTTGCTAGCCTGGCTACGAAACGTCTGCGCACAATACTTCCAGCTCGGAGAACACACCACCGACAACGTTTTACACTCTCTCTATCTCTTCCATTCTATCCAATCGTTGCTTGACTATTGCTTTTTTCGCTATCTATTCAGTTTCTTTTTATCATTTCCTTTTTCCTGGCACTTGGTTATTGCGTTTGTTGTCTCTTTCCTCCACTTTACTGTCTTGCGCTCTCTCGCCCGATATTTCATATCAGCACAATACGAAAAAATGTCATGAACGGCTTGATCGGCACAGATTCGGGCCCCGCGGTCCCTCAGAAGCGGCCTGCTCCCGTCGAGGATAGCACTTCAGGTAAGTGCGTGTTGCGATATTGCATTGTCCTCACATGCGTGATGGTAGATATTCGCCATCCCTACCACCAAACCACCCCCACCCCGCTCGATGTTGGTCATACGGATGGTCGTGAAAGTTGTTGCGAAAAAGGGGCACCAGCAGTGTTGTACTTTTCTCTCTCTATCGATCGATCTCAGTTTCAGTTTGTACAACCATTAACCATGCACTATCGTGCGCCGGTTTTGGCTGCCCGTTCGAACGAACAGTAGGAGAAGAACAGGAAGATTGAATGTAAAGTCGAAAAGAAAATTAAGAACTCCGGTAAAATATGGCTACAAAGAAATTGAGAAGGTGCATGAACCCCACTGTTTACAACACTCAGTCATATCATTCAGTGTCTCTAGCCATCGATTACGATTGTCCCGAGGTCCCCATCCAGGGAGCCTGACGGGACCTATGTGACCGAGTCTTTTGGTTAGGGTTTTCATAGCCTCATGCCAGGTCTTAGCCTGACCACCCTTGGCTTTATTCCGACCACTACCTGTCTCCGTGATCATCGCTCTTCGCGGCAACCTATTTAGTGACATTCTTGACATATGCCCCGACCAACGTAATCTATGGAGGTCGATCACTTGCTCCAGTGGGCGACCAGTTACCTCAAACTCTACTCCTGACCTCAGCATTACTCGTCCGGCTGCCCCACCAGATTCGTGCAATACTGCGTAGACAGTGGTGTTCAAACACCGACAGCTTTTCTCTATCCTGTTCCCGTAATGACCAAGTCTCTGCATCGAACTGCCGCGGCATATACTCGACCCTTCACAGACCAATGGATCTCAGGTTCACTGGCAATGCTACTCAAGCGAGTGACCGGTTCGATCGGAGGATTAAAATGCAAACAGAACAGATTGCTTTTTCTCTCCAGTGTTTTGAGCACTCCCCTCTCCCCGGTTACTTTGCCGATCTCCTGAAAGATGTTACATTTGGTGGTTACACCCTTTGTTTTGGAGCCTTGAGCCGAGGGACGGTGAAATGACCGTGAAATTAAGCACGAATCACTATTCATTCTCTATCAGCAGTTCTTTTAGGTACAATATTGGCACCTCGTCTCATTTTCATATTTGTGGTTTTTGCTATAACACACTTGTGTGTGGTGAACAGCCCCGTATTCACAAAGACCTGTTGCTCCGTCATGTAAACCGGTAACCTAAGTCCCGCGGGACTTGCAGTGGCGAAACACATCAGGCCCCCATAGGTTACGGGCGGTATTGAACCGGACGACAGCAAAGCTGTCTACCACCAAAGACGGGTGGCTGTGGCGGAGCTCGAACCATCGGGTCCAAAGTACGCCGGTGACAACGACTAAACAACTGCGCCATCACAATCCCGGTGGGCACTCTCAATTTCCCTTTCATGTATCGAATTAAATTAATCGGGGATAGTTTAGGCCGCGTGGTACAACACAGCTTCACATCTTTGGATTGCAAATACGCTTTGGTTCTCGTCGTTGTCTCTTCTGGAACGTGTGCCGGTTTTGGTTGCCCATTTGGATAAAAGAGCGAAATGAAGATTGGAATGTCGAAGCAAATTCAAGCGGAA